GGGTGCACTCACAGCTCACCCGGGGTGCACTCACAGCTCACCCTCCTCGTCTCGGACCCGTGGGGTGCACACCCCGCCCAGCGCCCGCACCACCCCGCCGTGCCCCCCCCCGCCCTCCCGGCCGTGCCAGGGCCTGGCTCACCCGTCACCTCCAGCGGCAGCAGGTCCTGCTCGTCCTCGATGCCGGCCACCACCTCGCACCGGTAGAGCCCCGAGTCGCTGGCGCGGGCCCCGCGCAGCTCCAGCGTGGCGTTGGAGCGGTCACGGGGGTAGCCGGGCAGGGACACGCGGCCCTCGTAGGCTCTCACCACCTTCACCGCGTTGTCCTTGGCCACCAGGATGGGCGCGTCCTCCCTCTGGCCGGTGGCCGAGCGCACCTTGCTCCATTTGACGCGGGGCGGGTCGGGGGGCTCGTTGGGCCCCAGGGAGGCGGAGGGGTGGAGCAGGAAGAGGCAGGGCAGGGCCGCGGGCTCCCCCAGCCCCACGCGCAGCGCCTGGTGCTGCACCCTGCTGATGTGGATCACCTTCCCATCGTCCTGGGAGCCTGCGGGGAGAGGCGCCCGGGTACCGCGGGGGTGGGCAGAGGGGGGTCCCGCGGGGCTCTTGTGCACAGCGGGCAGAGCCGGGGGTGTTGCGGGGGGGGGGGCACCCCTGAGCCCCCCAGGGTGGAGCTCAAGTGCAGCCACCCTGTCTTGTGGCCAGGGAGAGACTTTCCCATTAAATCTGCCCAGACTCGGATGAGTCCCCAACCGCCCCTGGATGCTGCCCGTGGGTCCGCACCCACTGCTCTGTGCCCGTGGGTCCCACACTGCCCTGTGGGGATACCAGCACTTCCCGAGGGGATACCAGCACTTCCCATGGGGATACCAGCACTCCATGAGGGGATACCAGCACTCCATGAGGGGAAACCAGCACTCCCCATCCCTGCCTGCAGAGGTGGATCCCTCACCATCTTCCCGGGGCTGCCCAACCCCTGTGGCACGAGCAGAAAAGCCCCCCCGCCCCCTCCCCGCTGGGATAAGACATGGCAGGACCATGACCTCCTCCTCCTCCTCCTCCTTCTCCTCCCGCACTAATCCTGCCCCAGCCTGTGCAGCCTCCCAGCTCTGCCACCACAAATCCCCCACGTCTCGGGCCCCCGTGGCCCGGCTCCCCCTGCCCACAGCGGGCTCAGGGGATGTCCCCTGCAGAGCTCAGCCAGCTGGGGACTGGGAAGGCCACTAATCACCCCCCCCAGCACCTTCCTCCCCCCGGCTGCCCACCCTCCATCGCACCCCACACCCTCAGCCCAAGGGGGGACACACACGGGCAGAGTTCCGGGGTGGGGGATCCCAAATCATCCCCCCCGTGCAGGAGGACACTGCAGGGACAGGGGGGGACATGGGCTGTCGTGGCTGGAGCCACAGCAAATCCCCGGGGGGGCTCAGCCCCGCGGCCGGGGGGGGGGCTGCCAGCGGGATTAAGGATTTAAGGTCTCGCCTGTGGGGATCCCAGCACTGGGCGGGGTGTGTGTGTGTGTGTGAATCCACACAGGCGCCTGGGGGGCTTCTCCCTCCCTAATCCCGCAGGCCGGGCCCTCCCCGGGTCATTATGCGCCCTCACGGTTTGCTCTGGCCGTCAGTTCATTATTTCCTGCTGTTTGCTCTCAGCGGTCCCTCGGCCCCGGCAGCACTTACCCAGCACGGCGATGGGGAGCAGGGAGAGCCCGAGCAGGACCCAGCAGCCGGCATCCCCCATCCCATGGACCATCCTTGACCTGCAACGACAGCGGGGGGTGGGTGGGAGGCCGCCCCTCACCCGCTCCCGGCTGGGCGGGCGATGCCATCGGGCCATAAATCACCGGGGAGGGGCAGGATTAGCCCCTCTCAGCAGGGTCCCTCTCAGCAGGGCGCCATAAGCCCGGAGAGAGTTCGATTTCACTCTTGGAATGAGGTCGGGATGAGGGATGAGGTGCCCCCGTCGCCAGCTGGGGGTCCCTGTGTGTCCCTGCCATCAGTGCCACCCACGGTGACATCCCTGTGGGCACCCGGTGTGGGGCTGGAGGTGGGACACGTGTGCCCGTGGTGGGCAAGCCCAGGGGTCCCGCAGCCCCCCAGCCCCGTGCTGGGTGCAACTGTCACCAGGTGCCCACCACCACCATCACCCAGCTCCCACCATCACCATCACCACAACTCCCACCACCACCATCACCACAACTCCCACCACCACCATCTCCAGGCATGAACACGACCATTGCCCAGCTCCCACTACCATCATCACCCAGATCTCACCACCACCATCACCCAGCTCCCACCACCACCATCACCACAACTCCCACCACCACCATCGCCGGGCACGAACACGACCATTGCCCAGCTCCCACTACCATCATCACCCAGATCTCACCACCACCATCACCCAGCTCCCACCACCACCACCCCTCTGACCTCCCCATCAACATCCCCCAGATATCACCATCACCCAGATCCCACCATCACCCAGATCCTGCCATCACCACCCCCCAGATCTTGCCACCACCATCTCCCAATTCCCTCCCCGTCACAGCCACACTCGGGCTTTGTTTGGGCACAAAACCAGCTGAGCAGAGGCAGCAGGGGCACAACCAGCACCCCCAAACCCTAAATCCCACACTGGAGCTTGGCACCACTCAGCCATGAGCTTGAACCACACCCCGGGTCCCCCCTGCACTGGCAGATCCACCGTGGGGTTTGTTGGTCCCCCCCAGCTCCAACATCGACCCCTGCCCGGTCTCAGACAGCAATTTGGGGAGCACTCGGCCTTTGGGGGGACACCAGGAGCCCCCCATCCCTCTCCCAGCTGCCCAGAACCGAGTCTCTGCCTCATCCCACCGGCTCCCCCATCCCTGATGCTCCATTTCCCAGCCCTTGATTTCTCATTCTGTCCCTTCTGTGCTTTTATGGGACAAAAATAGAAAGAAAGAGCAAAACGACGAGAAAAAAAGGAGATACCCCCCCCTCCCCGTGTTCGGCACTGGCAAAGGGCCTTTTTGGGGATGCAGAACCGGGTTTTATCTTATTTCCTCTAAAGAAGAAAGCGTTGGCAGCCCCTTCCCTCCCCCGGCAGCTCCGCGGGGCGTTCTGCCCCCGAAGCCAACTGCTGGGAGAAGAGGAGGAGGTGACCCGACCCCGGCCATGGGGGGGAATTCCCGGGGCGCGGAGCCGGGAGTGGGGCTGTGCCGCATCTCCCGGGAGCTGAACATTCCCAGAGCATCCCCGAGGCCGCTCCAGGGCACCCACAGCAGCTCCTTCATCCCCTCTCGGAGGTGCTCCGGGAGGGAAATCCCTCCTTCTCTCATCCTCACCAGCGCCAAAGTTTTCCCAGTTTTCCCGCTACAGGGGAAAAAAAGAAAAATAATTGCTTGGCAGGGCCGGGCCCGGGAGGTTCCAGCTCCTCCCACTGAAATGCTAATCCTGACTTTCCGGGATGTCCAGGAGCCCTCCCAGTGCAAACCATCGCCCAGACACCGCCCGGGACCTGCTGGGCGACGGTGGGGGCGGGACGGGGACGGTGGGTGATGGAAGGTGCGGGAAGGGAACACCCAGGACACTCAGCTCCAGGGAAAAAGGGAGCCCCGGGCTGTGCTCGCGCGTGTCCCAGGGCTTCAAACCACCCCTTTTAGGTCTTTTCACTTGTTTGAAAGACTTTTCGGCCTTTTCTCCCGTTTTCTTTTCCTCATCCCTTGATGCTCCCCCTCTGCAGCTTCCAAGCAACTTTTCCCACCGAAAGACAGGACAAGGCAGTTTCCCACGTGGGACAACAGCGGTTGGATCTCCCTCCCTGCCGCCTCCCCGCAGCATCCCTGAGACCTTCCTCTTCTCCATCCTCCTCCTCCCTGGCCCGTGGAGCTCCCAGCGGAGCATCCCCCGTTCCCAGGGAGCCCCCGGGGGCCACCAGCCCCATCCCTGTGCCCGGTACCACGCGGGGAAGGTGGGATGGAGCGGGGAGAGACCCCGCAGAGCCGCGTTCACACGAGGAGTACAAATCCTCCTCCGGGCTCTCGGCTGTTTACTCAGAGCCGGGTCCTCGCTGAGCAAACACCCGGCGTTTATTTAAATGTTAAACACCGGAGTTGCTCTTTGGGTTTCCAATCACCACCCGGGAGGCTGCGGAGCCGGGATGGAGGGACGGGACGGGCCCTGAGCCCAGCGGGGACACCCCGGGCTGGCTGGGCGTGGGGAGTGGGTGCTGCCGGGGGCTCGGGGCCGGGATGCTCGGGGCCGGGGGGGTCACAGGGCTGTGCGGCTCCAGCTGCACCGGCGCCTTCCCTGACATCAGCAGTTCTGCGGGATTTGCTTTCGCAGCAGGGAAGGAGCCGCGGCGGGAAGGGCCGGCCCTGCCCGCGGCACCCGCTGCCCCCTCGGGGTGACCTGACCACGAGTGGGGGGGGTCCCGGGAGCCCCCGACGCCAGGAACGGGGCACACAGCCCCTCGGGGACACCCGGCTGGCACCCCCGCCCCTGGAACGCGCAGGGAGCACATTCCCCGCGTCCCCGCCACGTTCCGTCCCCACCCCAGCCCCTCGCTGGACCCCCCCCGGCCGCCGCCTCTGCCGAGCCCGGCGATGTGCTGAGCCAGCAAAAAGTTTATCCCAAGGTCAGGACAAGTGACACGATGGGCTCCACTCCCCGCCGGTGCCGGAGCCACCACACGCGGTGTCCCCGCACGGGGACCCCCGTCATTGTCCTCAGCCCCTCCCAGCCCCGGCGCCTCGTTAATTATTGAGATCGTCTCCGTCCCTCCTCCCCTGGATCCGCTAACCCACAATCCAGCTCCCGCAGCGCCCGGGAGGCAGCCCGGGGGTGGCACGGCCGCATCCCGACCCCGCGGTGCCACCGGGATCAGCCCCGGCTGGATCCGGGATGCCCAGCACGGGCAGCGGCGGCTCAGCACCACCAGCCCCTGGGCCAGAGCCAGGGGCAGCATCGGCCCCATCCCGCTGGGGCGGGATCCAGCTGGGAATCCCCATGGAAAGAGCCCCGGGCTCGGCCGTGAGGGCATCACCGCGCCGTCCCCGGCAGTGACAGCGAGGCGACAAGGTGAGGAGGGTGGCAGGGGGGCGGCCAGGCGGGGAGGGCGGCAGTGCCACCGCGAGCACACCAGGGGCTGAATTTCGCAGCGGGGGTCTCTCTCTCCGCAGTCGGGGCGATGCCACGGTGACGTCCCCGATGCCACGTGGCCGGGCCCCCTCGGGGACGAGGAGCGTGTCCCTGTCCCTCAGCGTCCCAGCCCAACCGGGGGAACGGCAGGCGAGAGAAATTTAAAATAACGCCGGTGCAAACCGCCCCCCCCACACACACACACGGGTGAACATTTTCACATCTGTCACTAGCTGTCACCTCATGAATAATTCATATTTCTCATGAATATGCAAAGCCGGGACTGATGATTAGCTTGAGCTGAAACAGAGCTTAATTCCACACAGGCCGGTGGGCGCCGGGACCACCCGGACAGTTTCGGGGTCACCTCTGTCCCCAACCTGCCCCGAGCCATGGGCTGGGCCGGGGGCAGCTGAGGAGCCCGGGGTCTTCACGGAGCAGAGGGGACATTTGGGACGGTGGTGGGGACACGAGATTGGGACGGGTGGGAGGGGAGACGATGCACTGCCCACCCACCCAGGCAGCCTGGATGCAGCTGGACGTGGGTGCGCCCCACCCTGGGGACGCCCCAGCCCTGGGGGTGCCCCCAACTTCCCCCCAGCCAGGACGGAGACCCCGTGACCTCCGCCGTCCCCACGGGTCACTCCAGTCCCCGGTGCCACCGGCGCACACGCAGCACTTCGGTGCCCACCCACCCGGCGTGTCCCCCCCACCGCAGACACCCCGCGGGGCTGACCCTGCACCCCCCGCCCCCAACCCCGCCGGGACCACCAGCCCCCCGCGGCACCCACCTCCCTCCCGGCGGTGCCCCCGCCGCCCCGGCGGGGAGGGGGTGTCCGCCGAGGGACCCCCCCGGGGCTGCGCGGCCGCGGCAGGAGCCCGGCGGCGGGGCCGGCTCCGCGTCCCCTCCTCTCTGCCCACAACAAAGGAATTCTGCAAACCTCGCTGCCGTCACATCTCACAGGCAACGTGATGCTTCCCGCTCCCCCCCAGCCTGCCAGAATAAATTAGCACCTCGGCAAACTGTGATCCCGTCCAATATGGGCCCTTTGCTGGGTGCGATTTTTATTAGGCAGACAGTCTGCAGCCTTTATTTTGGAATTTGCTCCTCTTTGTTTTTTTGTGGGTTTTTTTTTTTGGTTTGGTTTTGGTTTTTTTCTTTTCGCTCTTTTATTCTTCCTGCTCCCCTTTCTCGTCTCTCCCCGGGAAGCCGAGAGCGCGGCGGGAGCCGCGAAGCCGGCGCAGCATCCTCGGCTCCATCCCTGGGGAGGGTTCGGCCACCCCCTCAGCGGCTCTGAACACGGCGCCGGTGCCTGGCACCAAGAAACGGGCAGGAGACCCCCGGGCCAGGCCTCTGGCACCGTCCCTCCACCACCGCCGGTGTTTGGCTTTGCCGAGCCCCTCACCGGGATCCGCGCCCGCCTCCGTCCGTCCCGGCCTATCCACGCGGGTGTGGGACACGCGGGTGGGGCTCATCCTGCCCGCGGTGCTCAGCACCCGGCGCTCTGCCAGCCCTGCCAGCGCCCTGGCAGCCTGGGGGCACCCCGGGACAGGGAACTTCCCGGCTCCCGACCTGCCACGCCGAGGCACACCCGGCTCTGGCACTGCAGCGGGGTGACACCCCGGGGGCACCCACC